TTTAATAACAAGAATAAACAAGATTCAATATCCAAACAAGTATCATTGATTATACATAGCTTTTTAAAATGTAAAATCATACAAGTGATAGAACAAATTAGGAGGCAACTTAAAAGAAGATGAGGTTCACTGAAGTGCGTGAGTTAAAGTACTCTTCAGTTCATCCATCCCTTGCCCATCTTATCAGGCAAAGAAAAAGAGGGTAAATATACATCGACTCAATTTGTATAGTGGCTATAACTTCTATTTCTCTTAATCTAAACTGATATATTCATTAAATGGAAACAAGTAAATAAATTATTGTAAACATTATCATTACTTTGGATCAGAAACCTTAGACTAAGAGACTGAAAAATATAACATTCAATAAAACCATTTAAGAAAAATCAGTGGTAATCATTTTTCATAATGTTAACCAAATTGGAGGGAGAATAAGAAAATCCTCAAATCTCATAGACATTAAAAAAACAACAAATAGCATTGTACTCAAGAAGAATAGTTCTGAGTACAAGACTAAAATAACTAAAAATTCAGATTTAGATTTGTATATTTCACTTAAAAATAGGTATGGTTTAATTGAAGCAGTTTTCTGACCAAAACAATATGTAGTACTTTTTAGAACTGAGAAATGAAACTTTTAATAAGGTCTTTTGATTCTGGAGGAAAAGTTATTATTTCAGCCTTTTTAGGTTTCTTAACATTTTAAATAATGGTGCTTATGCTACAGTACACAGAGTAAAACATATATAATCTATTATAAATTACTCCAAAATTAAACAAGAAATTTTCCTTTCTTTCTAAAAGATCTGAAATGTGTTCTGGGCTCTCACTGTGTGTGGCCTCCAAACAGAAACAAGCTTGCACTGTTTTATTTCAGTTTTGCTTCATTTCTTCCCAAACAATCTCTCACTGCTAATCTACCAGGTCTTTTTTTTTTCTCTCTTTTAGCAGAAAGAGAAAAAAAAAAAATCAAAGACATTAACTCCTTAGGCACAACTATAAAAGTTGAACACTGTATGTATCATTCGGCATCAATTTGCATGGATTTATTTTTTATTAGTTATTAATGGAGCATGACTGGAGAATAATATTTCCATAAATTCTCTAAAATATCATTGAAATGCTATAATTTTAAAATTATGTGACATTCTAGTATTACTGTTTTAAAAAGCTACAATTAACTATAACCTCAAGTAAATACCGTATGCTACAGTTATTTCTAAAACTATGTTTAGTTTATAATACCAAATGAAAAAATGGAGAGAAAAATTTTATTTATGTCTTATTGTAAAGTACCTGTGAATCAAGAAAATGATATGGAAATCCTAACAAAAGGAAAGTACTGATATTCATAGTAAATATGTAAAATCTTTAAATATTAGAACAGCATCACTTTATTTAAACGAACAAGTCATCTCTTATTTAACTATATACTCTATTATTCATAAACTGAGGAAAAGAAGAGTGGGTAAATCATCTTACAAGGGTGAACATAATTTTTAATGGCAACCTATGTGGCAAAAACTGTTTCTGAAAATTCTAACTAATGTATTAAAACTGCCTCTAAGACACATGGTAATCAGAACCAAGGAGTCTTAAATGTTGACCAGAACCAGATATCCATTTATATTCCCAAAGAAGGCTACAGGGCTATCTCTTTACCTGTGAAATACAAAGAATTTTAAAATAAACTTTACCCATAATTTGTCATAGGAAAAAATGTGATTAAACTCACTTAAAATTTTTTCTGTATATTAATGTATGCAAAATATTCATTGGGTTGATTATAAAAAGCAGATGTTAACTGTATATACTAATGTTTATAAAATCACTAGCATGCACTAAATTCTTTAACTTCAGTGGATGTCCCACTAATTCCCACTCCTCACTGCCTCCCCTAAAAAGAAAACCAGGGCAATTCTTTAACTAATGCAAGAATGTGTCTTTGGTAATATAGCCTAATATATTAGGAGAGCAGAATATCTGGTGTCATTACTCTGAGTCTACTGCTTTTCAGTTTATGAATTATCTCTGTTGTGTGACAGGAACAAAGGTGACATATAATAAATAGGAAGGTACTATAGCTCTCTGTGGGTTTTAGACAACTCTGAGATGAAATGACTGAATTTCTATGAAATCTTAATGAGCAGCTACAATGTGAATGGCACTGGGCTAGGCACTCCTGACAAACCCCAATGCAGAAAGTTAATTGTCTATTATAAACTAGTAGTTAATATTATTTTTATTATTACAAAGAAATCATTGTGGCCAGTGGAACCTATAGTGGAATTTTGCAGAGGTAGGTTTCTAATCAATGAGACCACTGCCTCTGGGGAACTGAGTGTGCTGATATGAAGTTTATCCAGAGCAAAAAGAAAAATAAAAGCATCAGAGATCATCCAGGAGCTTGGAGGGACCCGAGCAAATGCCTCAAGAACTTTTAAGTCGGCTGTCCAAGAGGCACACTTTCTTGCTTTAGGCTTTCATTAATCTGATACATAGATAAGATTGATGGATTGCACCCTGTTAGTAAAGTGTGGGTAGTGGAGGCGGTGCATGGAGGGAGGAGTGTAATTTAGGAGTACACAATGGTAATTCAAAACATTCTGCAAGGCTCCACAGCATAACCACTTGTCAAATTCTAACTCATCAGATCTCACCCTTCTGCAGACAGTTTATTAAGAGTAGAATGAATGTGGCTGTAAGTAGAGAGATGAATGGATATATGGAACCAAGGCAAAGGACAGGTGAAGAAATGGCAGGTTAATTGTCAAAGTAAATTTAAACACAGAAAAACCAAAGCTTGTGAGATTGTAAAATTCATAGAATTTCTCCAGAAAGCAATCTTAAAAATTAAAATCACCAAGTTATACTTATTAGGCACTGTAGGGCCCTATCTTCATGCTCTCCTGTTTTTTCCAGTCCAAAAGCCTATTGTTTTCCTAAACGTAGTTTAACTACAAGAACTCCTATGCCTTTTCTCCCCATGTATCTCCATTATCTATGGCCCAGTATAGGTCAACGTAGTTGCCACACAAAGCCTGGCTCAATAGAGGCCAGGAGAGTCGACAATAGCCCACTGAAGTCCATACTGACAATTTACCAATTCATTTCAACAATCATTTAAAAATGTGGTGAATTCACTTCCAACAATGGAACCAATGACATACATTTGGCCTAAAGTCTCCCAGGTGTGGTGTCTGGTCTCAGTCACAGAGAATCTCTGACATTAGGTCAACCCTGGTGACAAGGCCTTTCTTAGCCAAGAGGATGGATGGCACCTTCAATCAACCGTTGGGTTCTTACTTCATCACAAGGCTCATGAATCTGACAACATTCACACACATAGAGTAAATCCTCTATTAGTTAAGCTGGGTGACTGAATTGCATGATCAACTCAGCATTCAAGTATTTATTGAGAGACTATTATGTGCTCAGATCTGAGCTAGCTACTATAAATACCATACATACACTATGTCCACTATGTGTATGTGTAGTACATACATATAGTATGCATTTATCTTTACATATTTGATTTAATGCATATAACTCCTTGGGTTACAAAACCAGAAAATCTATGTAGTCATAAAATCAGAAAAAAAAAAAACCCTTTAGTGGTGATATTTATACATTTTAGCTTTTGTGTTTTATTCCATAGGAGGACAGTAGATTGCTATTTATACACATTTAAATTAATATAATATGGAGAGAAGTTCATTTAAAATAGAAATAATATCCTTAATTTAAAGTTATTTTGTCACATGTTTGGGATGAATAAAAACCTTTGCTCTCACAAAGACTTGCTAGTGTGTTTTTTACTACAATTTAATATATTACATATTTAAATATTTGAGAAATATTTCACTTTGTGAAAGTGTACCCATAGCCCTCAAGGCCACCCTAGCCTAAAAAATATTTAACTCACTAAGTTCTGTGAAACAAGATACTGTAAAAATATATTAAATAGATTCTTAGTGGCTTTAATCAAGCAAATAATCGGTATTAAACTATTAGCTAATAAAAACATACATTTTTGTCTACCACTAACATTTTTTATTTATAGGTAGAATTGTTTGTTACATTTTATTAAATTTAAATTTAAAAATATTAAAGTATTATATTGAACTTTAAAAAATTTTGGAAAGCCTGTAATCGCAGCACTTTGGGAGGCCGAGGTCATGAGGATCACGAGGTCAGGAGATCGAGAACATCCTGGCTAACACGGTGAAACCCCATCTCTACTAAAAAATACAAAAAACTAGCCGGGCGAGGTGGCGGGCGCCTGTAGTCCCAGCTACTCGGGAGGCTGAGGCAGGAGAATGGCATGAACCTGGGAGGCGGAGTTTGCAGTGAGCTGAGATCTGGCCACTGCACTCCAGCCTGGGCGACAGAACGAGACTCTATCTCAAAAAAAGAAAAAAAAAAAATTGGAAAGTAACAAAGAAAATGGTACAGAATATATACTGGCAAAAAGTATTTCAGAATGGAATACAATTCGGGATATCTTAAATAATCTACATAAGAAAACTGACCAAAATTCAAAACTTATACACAAGTTATGACATTTATAACATACTTCAGAGATTTCTCCTTTAACTTCAACAATACATGATAAATGATTCTACTATTACTAAATGAATAAATTATTTTCAAAATTCAGTTTGCATTTTATTGTTTCTTTTTAGCTATACCCTTAACTAATACTTAAATTTTCTTTATTTAATCAGTTGCCTAGATAATATTTCATAGATTCCTGAGCAATCAAAAAGGGAAATTTCTGCTTAACAATACAATATAAATATAATATAAAATGGTAAATATTGATTTTATATTTTCTAATTTGCCTAATCAATTGCTGGCTTGGCATATACATAAAAAAGAAATCCCAGCTAGGTTCGTTTTCTGATTTTTTTTTCTGATTCTCATATGTAAGAGGAGAAAAATAAAAATAAACAAAGAGCTGATCGAGTTAAATAAGGGGATCTCAAAGTGGTACTTACTGGCATGACAATGTTGTAGTGGATGCAGAACCCTGGTTCAGAAGGAAAATATTCATCAGATACAAATCTTATCCTAATTTGATTTCCTTTAGAAATCTGTTTTCCTGGTACAGTACCAGAACCACACCAGCGCCCTAATATAGTTCCATCACTGGGTTCCTCAACTTCTACAAAATCATACCTGCAAAAAGACAAAGGGGAAGAGACATCATTTCATAATCTGTTATTCTGGCAATTACAAGTTTCCTATCTGTGAATGCTATGACTTCATGGACCACGGAAATGAGTTAATCTAAAATTAAACTGGGAGCATACAATTAAGTACTCTAAAGAAGAGACACAACTGAAAATGAGTCCCAAGTTAAAGAAATAAGAGTCTATTTGGAGTCCTTAGTTTTTCTCTTCACAAATTCCAAATTCACTAACTAACTATCCTAAAACTTAAACATTTTGTAAGGAGCAACCATATCTGACATTCAATTCATGAATTATTGAATATAATTTTCATTTGGACATGACACTGTGACTCCACCCTTAATTCCTATTATTACTTTATTTTCTGAGAGTAACTCTTTCATCCAGCCAGGGGCCTTGGCTCTCTTTCCCCATCTGTGGGGAGCTTTCCTAGAGCTACTTCATTGTATACGTATCTTTCGTACCTCACTTGGTACCGTTCTTGCTTTCTGTGACCTTCCTGGGTGTTCTCAGCTTACTGTCATCTTTCTCTTTTTGATAAACACATATTTCTAACTAACCACATATGTGTATAAGTGATCCATCTTCTTAGGCTGTTAATCCTTGAAGAAAGGAACCAGTTCTTACATATTTCTATTTTATATTTCCCTACACACAGTATCTTAAACAGAGGAATAAGTGATTGTTTTAAACACGTGTCAACTTTTGGTTTGGAAGGTTTGGATCAGTGGTGCTCACTGAGACCAGTGCTGCCCCATGACAGAGTGCTTCGGAAATCTGTAGAAACATTTCAGGTTGTCTCAATGATTGGGGGTGAGAAGGGCGTGATAGAAATGTAGCAGGTAAGGTCCACAAAAGCTCAACACTGGAAAGTTCTGAAAATGAGTATTTGCCCCATGTCCTCCATGCCTTTCAAATATTTCACTGGAAATTTCATGCAGGTGCAATTTCTACTACGGGTCATCTAAGTTTGGAAACTTACGTCATCTCATGTATAAACGCATATATATTTTGCACTGTTTTAGGTAAGGTAAATTTTCAAGAAAGTCAACTATAGAGTAAGTTGAGAGAATTTTCTGTATTTTGTTTATAACTTTACTAAGAGTTACTCACTTGGAAAAACATGTCACTAACAGGAATGCTGGTTATACTATTTTCATTCCAACTAAAACAAACATATTCCTATTAGTCTATATTCATAGCTGTTATTCACAATGAGTCTACTTAAAAGATGCTGACATCTTCCTTTATTTTTCTAGGGTAATTGTTACTGTTCATTTATATACTGAAACACGTTATTTTAAAATAAATTACTTTGTTATAGATTTATATAACATGCAGGCAATATATTTATTTTTAAAACAATTTTGCATATAGATAGATAATTGCTTTTATGAATTGCATTTCAGAATACTAAACAGGGCATTGCAAAACTTTTGTTAAAAGGAAGTCTGACACGGTTGTAAACCACCGATAGATTTTTTTCAAAATTTTAAGTTCAGTAGATACCAGACTACCAAAAATACTACATTTTATGTAGTATTAAACATACAAAAGAACAAGTTGCTGAAAAAAGACAAAGTGTATAATGAAACAATCATACTTATAAATCTGAAGTATCCAGAACTCTCTTATGGCATGGAACTTAAACTACTTCAGCTCCATTTTCCTCACTGGCAAACTGGGAAAACTGCTACCTAACTCAGAGATATGTGAAGACAGGAAAAATGGGACAGCACATGTGCAGCACCTAAAACACTGTTTGCACAGAGTTGCCACTCAAGAAAGTTTGTCTCCCATCTCCGTCCTGCACCCCTCCCACATCTGTACAACTACCTTTTAACATAACGTTGGAAGTTTAAAAGCAGTGAATAAGAAAACACAAAGACAAAGAGAAGATATGATTTTGCTACATCACATGAGAAGTCCAGGGTTCTAAGTTACATATACATAAGCCAGACAGTATAACCATTCCAGGAGTTTTAGCGTATGTGTGTGTGGGATGTGGAAGGGTTGGACGGTGTGTGTGTGTGGTTCGGGGACACTGGGCATAGCAGACGTACGTAGATATTTCAGATCTATCTGGTAGAAAAGTTGATAATTATCATTTTTATCAAATGGTAATTTTTATATCAGGGTTGTCTACACATGAAACAAAGCTTCTATTCATTTGTTCTGTTTGTTCTGTGCCTGGGAGGTGAGCCTATGTGATGCAGGCTACCACCACTCATTCGACAGGGATTTATGAAGCACTGATTTGGCACAAACTGTTCTGCTAGATTCTCAGGATACAAACACAAAACTATAGCTTTTTTCGGTTCTGGGTCCATAAAACACATTGGTAAGTGCTCTAATTAGAGTATGTAAGAAATACTGTGGAATAGTAGAAGAAAGAGAGTAATTTTATACAGTGAGATGAAGGTCAGCTTACAAAGGACTTCACATTTGGGCTTTCAATGAGTATTGATTGACAAGGGGTGAATGGGGTGGGGGATGAAAATGCAATCTAGCAATAAGTACAATACATACGATGTAATAGAAGAAAGAAAGGGCTAAGCATGGTCAATTGCGAATTGAGGGTGGGAAACAAAAATCAGATGGAGATCAAAGTGGACAAATAGATGCAGGTGAGAAGGTTTTGGTATTGCATGGTAATAAGACGTTAAATTGTTATTTGGTAGGCCAATGTTGAAAACATGTAGGTACAATTCCAATGGGCTCGATGTCTCTTTAAAAATTTTGTCAACATTTTAAAAAATGGAATTTCATAGAAAACCTGGATGTTTGGTTTTAAAAAAATTGAAGATCTGGTAATAATAAATGTCATTAGCTTTGTGTGACTCCACGAGGGCTCCTCTCCAGAATTCGTGTCAACTCCAGCAAAGTAGATATCTTTGTTTACTTTACTGTCTTATCCTGAGCACCTACATCCCAGGCACATAGTAAACCCTGTGTCAGTATTTGGTGAGTGAAGGAATGAATACTTGGCCTCACAGCAACTGAGGCTGGGACTAAATGAAAAAAACTTTACACGAGGCGTGTTCTTTCTAGTTTTTAAAAATCCCTATCTACTTTCTATGATTTAAAAAAATCCAGATTATCTTCATTTACTTATATTTGCCCTTTGGCATCTGAGTTGGCCACCCTTGCACTTAAGAGGCAGAGCCATTGGAGGTTTCATAGAGGGGAGTAACACAGACATGTAATCACCACATGTTCGAGGAATTTGAGGAAACAGTAATGTTTCAAGTGTGGGTCAAAAGAAAAGATACTTTAACAAAAGCATCCTGAGAAGGAACAGTCAGAGAAGTAAGAGGGAAGCCACTGTGAGGGAGGGTGCAGAGGTTAAGGTAAGAGAGAAGAGAGAATTTCACCTGAAGCAGGAGTGGTCAATAATGCCAAATGCCAAAGAAAGACCAAAGAGGTGAAAACTAAAAAGTATCACTGGATTTGGCCAGGATGAAGCAATTTCAATAAACTGCTTCAGCAGAACACACTGTGTACAAAATTTTCTTGAGACCATTTTTCAAAATAACCATTTTAAATTTTCTAATATAAAAAGCATTTATCTAAAGAGAAAATAATATTCTCTTCAGGAAGTCTAAAATTAACATCTCACATAGCTACTTTATATAATTTTCTTTTTATTTCTGTTTAAAGATAAATTACCTCATATGTTATATGATCTGTAACTTCTTTGAAAGTATTTTTAAAAGGGTTTTAAAGACAGAAATATCTAGATTAAAATGTTAACACTTCATTAAGAACAAAAATATCTTAACTTGTGCCTTATCTAATTGATGTCGATACAAAATCCACTGTCCTGTAAACAGGAGAAGGGTGATGAGCATATTATTACTTATTTCATGAAGATTTCCAACTGAATTTGATACCATTTAGAAAATAATCCTTATGAAAATTTCTGGATTTGCAGCGAGACAGCTGGCAACCAATTCTTACATGCTCATGCAAGTCTAGTGCATATATTTATGACAGTGCTTTGAAAAATCTATATAGTTTTGTACTCCACAAAGTTTAAATGGAATTAACATCTAATAAGGTACTGTGTTCTTTGTCTATAAAACAGTAGAACTTAGCACATGCTATTAATTGTTTCATAGTAAATTAGGCATTTTGAGATTTTCTCAGAACTCGTGTCACACAAAAATATATAATTCTAAAATTCATGCAATTATTCTGCCATTAATTTTTATGGTCATATACAATAACTATTAAGATGTCTATGGAATTTAAAGTTATTAATGAAATAATTATTTACACACACACAGACACACCCCATTGCCACTTGATTCCATATTTCCTTTCAACTTGTTTGGGAATGCAAAGTGAGGACAGAAAAATAATAATGCATTAAATCAAGTCGTCTGCTTTAACAACTTGGTATTTCTCTTATTTTCTGACACAACACCATTGGCAGAATATGAGATTCATAGCAAAGGTTGGTTGGCTGATATACGCTAACAGCTCAAACATCAAGAAGAGAATGAAGAGAGAAAACAATGATGAAAAACGTATCTGTGGGCCATAGCCAAATGAAAGGGGGATGATAAAACTGAGCAATACTGACACATCAAAGTGAAATCACAAAACACAGTCATCCTTAAATTCAGAAATCTACACATGCCCAGATGACTGTTCTGGAGACACGGTAATCCTTATAATACGCTCTCAGGTATTAATTTCCAATGTGCACAATTGCCCACGTCAGTATTTAAAGGATTTACTAAACCTATTTTATGAGCCAATCAAACATCACTTTCTCATGGCAACATGATACAGAGCATACAAGGCTAAGTGGTTTATAATGATCACTCCCTTTCTCTAACACACCCCTGGGGATCTGTGGAGGATTTATGTTCTTTTATGTTTAACAAACAAGTCTGGTGTTGTAGACAAAATTTTCGTTCTCATATGGGAATTAAAAAACTGAGGCCATGAGGACGTCCTTCTTACTCCGGAGATTTT